TCACTTCAGACTAGCTAAGGAACAGTTACCTAAGACAGAAGAAGAACGAGCATACATGGAAAGAGTTCCATATGCCTCAGCTATTGGCCATATAATATATGCCATGGTTTGTACCAAACCGGATATAGCACATGTAGTGGGAGTTATGAGCAGGTATATGAGTAATCCAGGCAAGCATCATTGGGAGGCGGTAAAATGGATCCTTAGATACTTGAAGAGTACCACAGAAACATCACTATATTTTATTGGGAAAGGGGTTGCATTGCATGGTTATGTTGATTCAGACTTGGATGGTGATATGGATAATAAGAAGAGTACTACGGGATATGTGTATAATTTGGGTGGTACAACAGTGAGTTGGGTTTCTCAATTACAGAAGATTGTGGCTCTATCGACTACAGAAGCTGAATATGTTGCAATTACAGAAGCTGAATATGTTGCAATTACAGAAGCTAGCAAGGAGATGATTTGGTTCCAGGGTTTTTTTGGAAGAATTGGGTAAGAAGTAAGAGAATAGTATTTTGTACAGTGATAGTCAGAGTGCTATTCATCTTGCTAAGAATCTAGCGTTCCATTCCAAAACAAAGCATATACATTTGAGGTACCATTTTATATGCTTACACTTAGAGGATAAAGTTTTATCACTTGAGAAGATCCATGGGAGTAAAAATCCAGCAGATGTGTTAACTAAGGCAGTGACAATTGAGAAACTAAAGCTTTATTTAACTTCAGTTGGTGTTCAAGCTTGAGGACAAAGGAGTGAGTTGTTGTGGTGTTTTGTTATGTATGAAGGCATGCGAGAGTTGACAGTTTGATATTTATTAGTCTCCAAGTGGGAGATTGATGGGTAGTGTGGAGCCTGATAGATACTGTACGCCAAGGCCTAACTTATTTGAAGGGTATTTTGGTTATTTTTGTACTTGTTATGTTACCTTAGTGCGAGTATTTATTCATACTGAACTCTCTGTATCTATAGCCGTTTTTTGATCATCATAGTGAAATCTCTTCAACCCTTGGACATAGCCCTGAATTTGGGTGAACCAAATAAAATCTATGTGTTCGTGTTGTGTGTGTGTGTGTTTGATTTATTTCTTGTGTTTTCTATTTAATTTCGCAACACGTTTGCCATTGTCAATATATATAAGTTGGCATGGGACATTGGAATTGGTTTAAATATTCAGGCCATTTATTTGATTGTTACATTATTCTATTATTATGATCAATTAAGAAAACATATAGTTGCTGGATACACATCTCTCATTCGGGAATCATGACCTGGTTAATGGACAAATAATTGAGATGTAAGGTTATTTTATTATATTTATTTCATTAGGTAATTCAAAAGTTTTGAATTACTTTTGAGTGGTATATTAAAATAAAATATTATATTGAGTTTTTTATTACCTTACTGCTTTGTATAATAATATCATGTACATGTGTGAGATGAATCTTTGAATGCCCACTGCCCTTTGTAAGTGATGTGGTTGATTAATTGGTTTTGTCCAGCATGGTTAACAATAAATGAAAAAACAAAGGTGGTGTTCGTTTCTTATTAATTGGGTTGAGGATCACTATACAAAACTTAGTACGTAGTAGAAAAAATTGAAAAATAATAGCATGTTTATTCAATTATTTAAAACAAAGCTCTTATGTGGCATGATTATATATACTTTGCCAAAAGAATATTTTTTTGAGTAACTTTACATTCACCATTTTTAGTTTGTCCATCTTATATGAATATCCAACCTAATTTAGATTATTCAAGAAATAACTTAAATGTGATTTTTTGAATGTTATATTATACCAATAATTTATAGGTAAAGGAAGAAACAATGAATATTCGGTATCTCTGTTATGAGGTATATTTGAGATCTCTGTTATGAGGTATTTATCTTGAATTACATATGCAAGTGATTTTTTAGTTTAATGTGAAGTTGCGTGGTGGTTTAGCCATACTTGTTCAATTTTAAATTGAATGACTTATGGGGTTGGCGTGCCATAAGCGAGTATTATTAATCTGATTTATTTAAAGATTCAAGTTTTAATTGTTTAATTTTAGGTTAAAAAACCTATGAGGCTTGCTTGCCATGAATAAGTAGTATTAACCTAATTGATCTAAAGATTCTAAGTACTTTAAATTATTTATCGGATATATAATATACATGCATCAAATTTTTTGCTATTTTATTTCAATTTAAAGTATAGAAAGAATTAAGATTTTTAAATCTTGATTATGTGCTTGTTATTATATTGTTCACTGTAATTTCTTGATATATATGAGGAGGCTTAATTTTATTTGTGTTAAAGCCATTTATATTACAGTGAAATCAAGCGTTTCATAATATTAGTTTATGTGCATTATAAAGAAATTGTTGAATTTAAATAAATGAAATTTCTGTAGCATAGGTTCTTCCTTGGGGTTTAAGAAGACCGGTAAAGTGACCGTTTCAAATATGGTAGCCAAAATGGGTGATGCCTACCAAAAGGTGACACGCTAACGGAAGTTATTATTTTTTGAAATTGTAAGGCATTCATCTTATTGAGCTTTCACAATGCACTTACCTACATGAGGGCATTTGTTCTGCCAAAAGGTGATCAATATCTTACTGTGGGAGAAATGAGTAGAATATTTGAGAGTGCTTGGATTATAACTAAATAACCCTCTTGCCAAAAAGTAGTGGAAGTGTTTAATAATAATTCAAGCATAATCAAATAGGTCTATGTGCAATTTTGATCGCAGGTTTGGGGGATAAAGTAAAATCTAAAATTATGCCAAAAGGTGATTTTTATATGGCATTTTATCTGTTCCCATAGGGTGGACGGCTTGTGCACATAGTAAAAACACCCTAAGAAATTTGGATTAAGACCCCAAGCACAAATTAAAGTAATAATCCCTAAAGCCGTGACTTAATATTTTATATGTTGTTTATGTGGTGTTATTTAATATAACATTTATTCAAGTTACAGACACTTTCGCATTTGAAAGATGGCTCATAGGGATTGAACCATTGAATGGTTTAAATTATGTTGCCTAGAAGACGGGTTTTAATATTATATTGGGTTTCTTAGACTATGAGTATGTGTTTTTTGAGGAAGAACTCCATATGCCCACTACAGAGTCTTCTTAGGTAGAATTTTTTATTTTTTATTTTTTTTTTTATTTTTTTTTAAAGTGGACTAAAGATAATACCATGCCATTAGGTTAATTTATGCCTATATAGGTGAGACATTCAGTGTGGTATCCTAGTATTTAATATTGCTAACGAGTCTCTTGATTTGATCAAGAAAGAGTTAATAGGCATTAAGAAGCAACAACAATTGTATTATTTGACATGGTTAATGTTAGTCATATATGATGGCAATGGTTCAGTGAGGGAGTGCATCTATAAGATGTGCAAGATGGTTAATGATTTCAGGTAGTATGGAATCATATTTGATTATAAGTTATTAGTCCATATTGTAATCTATTATCAGCTTAGGTTTTTTCAGCTTTTCAAGGTGAATTATAATTCACAAGAAGTTAAAAAGGCATTAACCAGCTACTGCACTTTGTGTGAGTGAAGGGGAGCGAATCAAGGGTGTTAATAAGTTTGCTCATCTTGTCATGATAGCAAGAATAATTTCAAGAAGAAACCAGGCAGTAAGAAAGTGTATAAGGCTAAACAAAATAAAGAAAGGCTTAATACATGAAAAAGACATTGATCATGGAATGATCAATGTTCTTTTTTTAGTTAACCCGGGGTGTTAGGGAGGCCTGAACCCTTAGGGCCCCTTAACAACCTGACTAATCCCTGAGGACCTGAAAGGTGCCTTCCCACCCGCACTGGGTAAGTCATTGCAGGGGTAGCGGAGGGTAGCCACAAAGAATACCCAGCAGGACTCGAACCCCAAACCTTAGGCTTGCTAAGCTCCAAAGTCCAGTAAGTAAACTGATGGGCAATATCTGAAGTGGATTGGAATGATAAATGTTGGTTCTGTAGAAATAAAAGGACATCAAAAGAAAAAATAAATAAATAAAGGCTATTGACCGGTTGCCTTTACAAGGGTTGTGATACCAAGTCAAGCTTGAAGAGTTGTGAATTTAGGAGGTGGCCAAGTTTTACATTTATAGAAAGCCACTACTACCTTTCTCTATATAAAATATAGATAGGGCGAGTAGGGATCGTCCCAAGGGATTTGATGGTGTATCGAATTGTGAAACTATGGTAATTAGGGTTAGTAGGTCGAGTGATCACACAATTGATTGGTTGGTTGATTAAGCTAAATTGAATTCAACTAAATAAAATAATATGAAGTAAACAAGAGAGAGAGAGGTCTTGGGGTGTAGAGATCACCACCAAGCAATACTTTTCTATACTACTAACAAGTGATCAATTGAGGGTAATGGATGTGTTGCAATATGATAAGGGTGTGTGTGCATTAGGTTGATTCAATTGGCAAGGATGAAAAATCAAGCAAGTATTGTCTAAACTTCATGTGAAGAGCACAATATATCTAAACAATAGAGCATATATTGTCTAGACAACATGGGGATAGCATAATAGATCAAAACAAGTCATTAATCCTTCATTAAGCTCACAATCCACATACAACACAATATTAGAGGAATATGCCATTTGGACTCACAAGCATGGAACATCAAACATCAAGAGTAGATTGTCTTCCCATCTAACATTACACTACCACTACACTAAATCTACACTACTAGCATGAAAATAAAGCTATCTAGACTAGGGGAGAGGCACAAACCATCAAGAATAGGCATAAACCATCAAATGAACCAAAATAGCATTCATTAAGCATATCATCTTGATAATCTCTAGATCTATAGCATCAATACACATAGACATGCATCAAAAACACTAAATCTAGGGATAAGCACATGAATATCCTACTCTAGCATACATAGACATATGGATAGAATAGAATAGTCAATTGGAAGCATTAAACCATACAAACCATGAAATAATCAAGATTTATATATACATGAATATCAAGATGTATCATACAGCACTAATCCCTCAATAATACACAAGGTTAGAGTATAGAAAGCATGCTTGGGGCTAACTCTAGCCCCAAGAGGATGTCTAGCCACTCATGGTAGTGATGATCCAACCCTCAAGGGCTAACTCCATTGCTGCTCCTTGTTGGTGAAGATCTCCTCCAATGGTGCTCTAGCTTCCCTCATTCCTCCTCTCCAAGAAAAGCCTCTAAGATCAATTTTCAATGTGTGACAAGAGACTCCCTCAAAAAGTGTATCATATTCCTTATATAGGTAGGTCAAATACACCCCATGATGAGCTGTGGTCGTGCAAGGCATATTCTCCAATCATTGGATGAAGGACGGAATAAATGAGCTGGACTTTAACTTTTTCTCGCTGGAGGAGGTTCGATCGATCGAACCTTAACTTGGATCGATCGAAAATGGGTTCGATCGATCGAACTGCATCTTGGATCGATTGAAGTGGTCTGACTCCTCCGGATAATGACAAGGCTGGGATATTTTCAAGATATTTATGGGGAAAAAGACAAAAGTGGTTGGTAGGCGTACAGCTGTGGATAAGATCAATCATTTGAATAGGACAAAATAGGGTTCGATCGATCGAAGGTGATGTTCGATCGATCAAACTTGGAATTTCAGCAAAGGCCAAGGTTGGATCTATCGAGAAGTACTGTGATCGATCATAGATATTCGATCGATCGAACTCTAAGTTGGATCGATCGAACTTTTCAGCTGCACAACTTGATTCCTTTTTGCTCATTTCTTTCTCCACTTTGCTCCCTCCTTTGGTTTATCTCAGGATTGCTTCAATTAAGCTTTTATTTGGCTGAGTTAGCTCAATTTTGGGATTAGTGCCTAAAAATATAAATAACACGTAATAAGTCTAAAACGGCAAAGTAAGATAGATAAAGGTACTAGAATGCTTAAGCTTAATGGGTTTAAATGCGCACTTTTCAGTGCTCATCAGCTATTATGGTGAAAAAGAAAAAGAAAGCATGAAAGAAAATTGCCATGTTAATATTTGAGCCTAACTTAGTAAAAGTATAGGTATAGATATGGTGGATGGATTCGGGTGTGATCCCACATGTTTCTTGTTTTTCTATAGGCTCGATACTTTCTGAATAAAATTGTGTTTTGGTTAGAGAGGATTCATCTATGTTATGCATAGGATATTGGGGAATGTTTCTCGAAAGAAACTTGAATGCTTGGTCAAGGATGGTATTATTGAACCACTAAACTTTTCAAATTATGATTTATGTGTTGACTGTATCGGTGGGAAGATATAAAAGAAACACAATTTTTGAGGCTAGTCGGTCATTTGGTCTTTTGGACTATATTTATATTGAAATTTGTGGTCCATTTCCTATTGTAGCTCGAGTGCAGTAAAAGGTATTTCGTTGTCTTCATTGATGGGTTCTCAAGGTATGATTATGTACTTATTCCACCAGAAGTCCGAAGCACTTTGTGTAAAATCTACCAGATTAAAGTTAAAAGCAGTTGGTATAATTATTATGGTTTTAAGATCGAACTACGGTGGTGTGTTTTTGTAATATTTCTGATTTTTTCAAATTTTCATTTTTTGGGATTTTTTGATTTTTCAAAATTTATTTATTTATTGCCTCGTTTTACATGTCGGACACTATGAGGTGTGCCGGGTGAGTCCCGAGAGTTAGTTGGGACATTTCTTCGAGTTCAGGACTCTTAGAAATCCATCGTTGGCCATTTCCGCATTTTTCAATTTTTCGGGCCGAGAGGTCCCAGGTGGGACCCATAACCGGGTTTGTTGTGCACGGGGATTATTTTTCAGGGCCATTGCATTTCATACATTATTATTTGATGCATGTTTATGTGGTTATGTATTTTGGTGTGTGGTTGTGATGTGTTTAAAGTATGTATGTATGTATATATATATATATAGGACAAAGGAGATATTTTTTTGAGTCGTGGGACCCGCCATCCTTTTTGGTCATTATAATGACCAAATGGTCATCACCTGACCATTCGTTTCTTCCTTTTTCTCACGCCATTTTCTTTCTTTCCCTCTATATTTTCCTTTTTCTTTTTCTTCTCCACTTCAAGCATAGATCTACACTTTCCTATTCGGATTTTGACTTTGCCACTGAAGGCAAGGTCAACGAGCATGACAAGAGTTTCGACTTGATCAAAGCAAAGTCCCGTTTGGAGCACCTTTGGATTTTCAAAAATTTAGGAAATTTGGGGCTTTTGATCTTCATTTGAGGTAGGGGTTTCCTAAGACTTATTTCTTTGAGCTTTGTGAATTATCGTCTTTAAATTTGATGTATAAGCATGTTTTGGTTATGTTAGATTTTTGAAATATGAGCCTTATATTGTATATATGATTTCTATGTTGTATATGATGTGTATGTCTATGTGTTATTTGACACGTTGTGAATAAGCATGCTTGAGTGAATTTATTTCATGCCTTATATGATTAATGTGCCAGATTCTTGTTATGTAAAAGCATGATATATATCCTGGGAATTTCTTATATGCATGTTATGTTGTTATGGTTGAATGAGATGTAAGAAAATCTATACTTGACATGGCAGGGCAAAAATAGGAAAAGTTGTTTAAAAAAAAAAAAATGATTTGGGAAAGATTTTGAAAAGTGGTTTATAAAAACTTAGGCGCCTAGGAGTTGCCTAGTGGTCCGTGGCATTAATGTGATCTAGAGGGAACTAGGGAGGGACCCTAGCGTGGTTAAGCTACCTAGGCCCTAAATGATGCATTAGAGTTGCCTTGTGGTTAAGGATAGCTGGCCAGCCCTTTTCTTGTGGTACCATGGAGTTGCCATGGGCCAGGTTGCATTAACGGTTTGGAATGGAAAAATGAAAAAGTTTTGTAATTGGGGAGTGACATTAGCATTTCATTGCATCCCATTGGCATTGCATTGTGTGTATATAGTTTGGTGGACTTGGTTGTTGATATATTCTCCCCTAACATAACATGATCCCGTATTCCTTTATTCTATGCTTCGTTTGGATTCACGGGGTCATTAAGAGGTGTGTCTTAGGCACCTCCTACTGAGCCATTGTACTCATCCACTCATTAATATTTTCATATTATGGGAAGGAAGTGGTGGATAATGCTCATCCACAAGCTTAAGTGGATTAGCAGACTATTTTTGACATCTTTTGTAATTGAAGTTCCAATTTTTGTAAAGTATTCACATGAGATGTTTAAACTTGTAATTTATGGCCTTGTGATTGTAACTGTGATCATTTTGCAATATTTTGATTATGTTACTACACTTTGAATGAATGGATTGAATGGGATTCTTTTTGTATAAATGTTGATGATGATGATTTTGGGACGTCATAACTTATTGAACCATTTGTTATGAGATATATTTTTATAATTGTCATATTTCGGTAACAAAACAAGTCAAGTTGTAATTTCAGCTATCATATAAGATTCGACATCGACTGGGGAATTGGAAGGTTGTTCAGAAGAAGAAAGTACGATTGATCATCAAAAAGGAAAGAACAACATGTTAGTACATCATTTCCCACTTAGGACACAAATACCTACGTGGTATATTTTCTAGAGTTCCCAAAAATAGAAAATCCAATGTCAAATTGGATTCTGTTAAGTGGAAACTCGTACTTGAATTTGGGAACTGGTTCCAGAAGCTGAGATTCGAGAGAACTCCATTATGTCCTTTGGGAACCGGTACCAAGATTTGGGAACCGATTCCAGAAGTCCTGACAGCAATAGGTTTTCAGTTTCCTTGTTCTATTTGATTCCTTTTTTATCCAACTTTCCTTCCAAGTCCTATGCATGAATTGTCCTTTATTTTTAGAAGGAATAGGACTTTGCAAACCTCTATATAAACCTTGTCATACACATAGATTTATTCACGGGTTTTGCACTATCAAGTTATCATTCTTAAAAGCCTTAGAAAGATTGTTTGTTTCAGAAATTCTTAGAGAATTTTCTGCTTGTCTTTCTAGAACACACACACTGATTCACATAGTGATTTTAGAGTTGTGGTGTTCATATCCTGATCGTGATCCTACAGTTGCATTTACATCGATTAGACAAAAGCAGATCTACTTCTACATCAAATTCAGACGATTGAAGAACAGATGAAAAATGATCACACTTTGAAAGAGTTGGAGCATTCGAGGAGTGTTGTCTAATCTACCATCTACTCTTCTACAAATATCAAGCATAAGCCTAAGGTTAAGTTGCTATTGGATGGGGAGTCACAAAGCCAGATGATTGTTAGCAATTGGTGTTTAGTAAAACAATAGGGTGTTAGCCAGAGTCAAAGTTCAATATACTTTGTTTCAAGAATAGTGGATCTATCTACTTTGGATTGAACAGTCCGTGAGGTTTTTCCTATACACACAGTTAACGTATTTTATCAACTGGGATTTCCTCGCTAAAAATTCTAGTGTCATCTCTAACTTTTACTTTGCTTTATGTTATCTGCATGTGATTAATTATTTAATTACTAAAATAAATTAAGTTAGAAAAACACAGGATCTATTTTCAAAAATAATCGAAACTTTCTAAAACATTCCGCTACTTACGACTCACAAATTGGTATCAGAGCCAATCTCTACACATTGAGTTGATCATTGTGGAAAGTTTTGATTGATTTCAAGAATTTGTTTTAATCATGTCTTATGCGTTAAAAGAAGGTGGTTCTAATTAAAGTGGTCATTTGTTTGAAGGAGATAATTACAATTTTTGGAAATCAAATATGAGAGCCTATTTGCAAAATTCAGGTGGTAAAACTTGGGCTATTGTTGAATCTGACTATTCGCCACCTACAGAAGATAAAAATGTAGATGGTAAAGAAGTTAAGGCCTTAAAAGATGTTTTTACTTTTACTGCTATTGAAACTGAGCATAATGATGCTAATGGCAAAGCTTTATATGCAATTATTAATTATGTTGTTCCATCTGAATATGCTAGAATTTTTTTTTTTGTAAAACTGCTAAAAGCTTGGGATATTTTGCAGGCTACTCATAAAGGAACTTCAAAAGTGAAGTTATCCAAAATTCAGATGCTCTCTCATAACTTTGGGAACATCGTGATGAAAGAAGATGAATCATTTTCTAATTTTTATTTTAGTCTTCTTGAAATAATTTCTGAACTGCATCACTTAGGTAAAAAAGTTAATGATAAGAAAATTTTTCAAAAAATCTTAAGGTCTTTACCTAAAAGATTCCAGATTAGAGTTGAAACTATCACTAAACATCGGGATTTGACTACATGTAAAGTCGATGAGATGGTAGGTTCATTGAAAACTTTTGAGATACAGAACATTGATTTAAATCAGAAGGAGAAGAATCTTGCTTTAAAATCTACACAGGTTGAGAATTCTGTGGATGACAACTTTGATGATGATTTTGTTTTTCTGTCAAGGTAGTTTAATCAGGTCTTGCAAAGACAACAGATGAGAAGGAATAGCAATATGGCTAATCCTCAAATTTTTGATAAGTCGTCGAAATTTAGGTTTAATGAATAGAAAGTAGAAGAGTCAAAAGAAACTGAATTCACTTGCTGGAATTGTGGTGGCAAAGGTCACGCATCCAATGTTTCTCCTAGTCCTAGGAAAGAACAAAAGGATAGGAATAGAGGAAAAGCAATGAAAGTTTTTATATCTGAAAATTCTACTTTGAGTGATAATGATTCTCCTCATGATGATACTAGTGATCTTTCTTATGTCGCTTTTCTTGAGAGAAGTCCTCATGTTGTTACTTTATCTGACTTTGATATTTCAAGTAACGAAGACAATGAAGTTCATGATTAACAGGTGCAAGAGGTTGAAAAGGATGATGAAAGATTGAAGAAGATGGCCGGAGAAACCATAGAAGTTA